GGAAGGATTTGTCTCTCCCCTCCCTGATTCCTCTGCTTCCCACCTTCCCTGCCATGCGTGCACCTCTGGAGTCCCACTGCTGTACCACCCTGCCTTGGGGCCAGCCAACTGCAGCCTGATGCCTCAGCAAAATGAGCCAAAAGAAACTTCTCCTTAGTCCTGTGGGCATCAGGTATGGCATCTCAGTGACAAGAAAGTAACTGAGACTTAAGACCGAAGAAAAAACTTTTAAAACTAATAAGGTCAGCAAGTTACAAAATACAAAATCAGTATTTAAAAATCTGTTTTTTGTTTTGTTTTGTTTTGCAGTACTCGGTATTGAACTTCTGGCCTTCACACTGAGCTGCATCCCCAGACCTTTTTTATTTTTATTTGGGCATGGGCTTTTGCTAAATTGCTATATTACTCAGAATGGGCTAGAATTTGAGAGCCTACTTCAGCTTCCTAGAGTACTGGGATTACAGCAGTGCGCCACAACGTTTATTTTAGAAAATGTGTATTTCTGTATACTAATAAGGATAAGCAATCTGCAAATGAAATTAACAGGCAAAAAAAAAAAAAAAATCCATGTTTTTCCATAGTAACATCAAAATTGATAAAATCACATAGGAATAAAGTTGGTCAAACAAGAATTGTACTGAAAGCTATAAAACATTGTTTTTCAAAAAAATGAAGATTTAAATAGGGGCCAGGGTTATAGCTCAGCAGCACAACACCTGCCTGACAAGTTCAAGGACCTAAGTTTGATTTCTGGTACCCCCCCAAAAAATAGGATTAAAATAAATGGAAAAAAAAAGGATTAAAATAAATGGAAAAAAAAATCCTACTTCCCAAACTGCTACACATTTTCAGTGACAAACATATCAAAGTCCCAACTCCTTATTTTATACTATTTAATAAGCTGATCTTAAAATTCATTAGGAAATAAGACCCAGAATGGCCAAAAGAACATTGAAAAAAGGACAAAGTCAGAGGACTCAAATTTGTTCATTATAAAACTTACTACAAGTATAATTAAGTTAACATAGTACTGGTATAAAAATAGACATGGATGAATGGAATGGAACTGAGAGTCTAGAAATAAACAGTTGATTTTCAACTATGGTAATGAAACCATTCAATTGGGAAAGAATGTTTTCCAATAATGGTTTGGGTGCAGTTGGATATCCACCTGCAAATGAATTAATCTGACCCCCACTTCATACCATAACCAAAAATTAACTCAAATGAGTTAAAGATATAATGTAAGATTTGAAACTATAAAACTCTTAGAAGGAAACATAGCTATATATTTCTTTGGGCTTGAATTGGACACTGTTTTCCTGACCATAACCTCAAAAACATAAACAATCAAAAAGTCTAAGTTGAATTTTATCAAATTAAAAACTTTCATAATGAAACTATCAAAATTAAGGTTTACAATATTTGCAAATCGTATATCTGACAAGTGTCTAATATCAAAATACAGAAGGTACTCATAATTCCAAAATTGACAACCCAGTTTTTAAAATGGACAAAGGATTTGAACAAACATTTTTTTCAAGGAAAATATATAAATCCCAGGGCTAGGGATTTAGCTCAGCAGTAGATTGCTTACCTAGCGAGATAGAAGCCCTAGGTTTGGTCCTTGGCACCAAAAACAAAACCAAATAATAACCTCAACTGAAAATACATAAATGTCACTACACACACACAAAAAAAAAATGTGCTCAATATTAGTCATTTGGGAAATTCAACCAAAACCAGAATGAAATACATCTTCACATTCAGGATGGTTATAACTTTTTTTTTTTTTTTTAATTTATGAAATGAAACTAAAATTGCCTGTGGGATTGTAGGTACATCCATATTGGAAAACAGTTTATCCTTTGCCCAAAGTGACACATAGTTACCAGGTGAGCTAGCAGTTGCATTCCTAGATGTATATCCAGAAGTAAAAACGTGTTCACAAGTAGTATTACATTATTCATATTAGTAGAAACAACTCAAATGTCCACCATCTTATTGGTCCCAGCATAATTGTTTATTCCACAAAGGGCAAAGAGACCGTTGCTTATTGTTTGCCTGGGGCTGGAGAAATGCTGCTGGGTTTAAGGGTTCCTATTGGGTGATGTCTCGGGTACTTTTCTCTCATTGATGGGACAAAAAACCTGACACCTAAAATTAAGGAAGGAAAGGCTTATTGGGCTCACAGTTTTTTGAGGTTTCAGTCTGTACTCAGCTGGCTCCAAGGCAGAATGACACATGGCAAAAAGCAGTCGTTCATGGTGGCAGGAAAAAGCAAAGAGCAAAGGGAGGTATAGCAGCTAAGCAGCTAACGAGGCTCTGGCTGTCCCTATATTGTAATGAGGCCATCCACCCCAGGGCAGGTGTAGCACTCACACCCTTAATCCCATCATTGGATCATGAATTAATCACACACTTCTGAAGCTGCCCCATTAAATATGTGAGGCTTTGAGGGGGGACAGCTAGACACAAACTATAACATTCCATCCATCCCTGGCCACCCGCCAAAGACTCCTGCACATCCCTTTATGCAAAAGGCATTGTAGTCCATCTAAGAGTTGCCAAAGTCCTAACAGGTTCAGCATTGCTGAAAAGTCCAAGTACCAAGTCTCTAAGATCTAAGGTTAACTCTTAGCTGTGAGCCTCTATACAAATAAAAGTTAAACACTTCCAGCATTCAGTGGCACAAGATAAACATTACCATTCCAAAAGGTACAAACAGCAGGATACAAAGCATTGGGACCAAAGCAAGGCTAAAATCCAGAAGGGCAGGCATTAAATCCTGTAGTTCCGTGTGGCACATCAAAAGCAATCTGACAAATTGTGAGCTCCGTATGGCTCCACCTCTATGGCACTTTTGGTGGTAGTTCCCATGGCTTCTCTCTTAGGCTGGCTTTGCTCCCTCCTTGCAGCTTTCCGTAGATGATCCATGTTCCTGGCTTTTCCAGACTTCTGGGGTTTCCATTGCACATTAGGCTTCTTACCACAGCTTCACATAGTGCCTTCCCAAGGGCACACTGCCTGGTCTACCAGGCCTTCTGAAATCGAAGTGGAAGCCTTCTTAACCTCAGAACTCTTACAGTCTGTGTGTGTCTAAAGCCAATGCCACTGGATGATGCAAGGCCTGCTGCCAGCTGGAGCAGTAGCCAGGTTTTCTTCTCACCTGGATGTAGGGATCGAGTCCTAGATTGCTGAGCACTCCGACTCTGACTCTGAGGAACAAATTCTCTATAGCACTGCCATTCTGGAACCTGGTGTGGCCACCACCACCACCATCTTAGAACATGAAGTTCTGCAGCTCTCTCCTTAAAGCAAACTCTTTCACTTTTGCAGTGTTGAGGCTGCAAAGGGTGGAGACTTGCTTCTTGTGATGCCCTAAAGCCATCTTTTCATTCTCCTGTTCCTTCTCAGCAGTGGAGTTCTCAGCTCTGTCTTTGCAGTATACAGCTTTATTGGTACTTCCTTTCTGGCCAAACTCACATTTTAAATCATCCTGCTGGGCTCTTTGCTCTTGATTCTCAACATAAATCTGACCAAAATCCCCCAGCAATAGCCATGCCCCTGCCTCAACATTCAACTGTCTTGAAATTTCTTCTGCCAGATTAATCAGTCCACTGTTAATTAGTCTCAGGCAAAGTCTCTAGACACGAGTAAAATGCAGACAAACTTTCTGCCAACTCAGAACACATAGCACATTGTCTGAGGCCAACAACCACTACAGTCCTTCCCAGCAGAAACCTCCCCAGCCTGGTCTTTATAGGTAGGCTTTCTATCAGCCTTCTGAACTTCTCAGCTGTTACCAGGATCTCCCATACAGAATAGTCCAAGGCCTTCCATTGCTTCTCTTTGAGGTGACATCTCCAGACCTTTCCTGTCTCTTCCTGTAAGCCATTTCCAAAAGCACGAACAACATGGTCAGGTATAGTCACAGGAACAACCCCATTTCTCAGTACCAAATTCTGTCTCAATTACTTTTCTCTCATTGCTGAGACAAAATACCTGACCACAATTAAGGAAAGAAAGGCTTATTTAGCTCACAGTTAGTGGAGGATTCATTCCATACTCAGCTGGCTCTAAGGCAGAGTGGCACATGGAAGAGGCCAGCCATTCATGGTGGCAGGAAACAGCAAAGAAAAAAGAGAGGAGCAGTGGCTGCAAACAGCTAGCAAGGCTCTCTTCCTCCCTTACGTTGTATTCGGGCTATCTGCTCCACGGCAGATGGAGCAGATAATCCCATAATCCCAGCAGTGGATCATAAATTACATACTCTCAAAGCCTGTCCCAGTGACAACCAGACACAAACCATAACAGGTGATGAAAACAAAAATACACTGAATTATATTACTATGATAAGTCCTATGGTATGTAAATTATCAAAAAATGAATGCCTGGCTGAGGAGATAGCTCAGTGGCATAAGCACCTGCCTGGCAAGTGCAAGGTCCAGAGTTTGATCCCCAGTACCACAAAAAAAAAAGGTAATAAATCAGGTCTTGCCGTCAGGAGACATGAAAAAATGAATGCCTTCACTGTAAGTAACAGTATTATACATCGGCACTCATGGCACTGGTGTGTGCTGTGCAGATGGACTTGAGAGACTGTGTGCTTACAGAGGCACTTAATAGTAAGATGTGTATTTAAGTATAAATAAAAGTAAATGCATTCCTCCATAAGGCCACTTTCTTAACAATCTTGTTTAAGGTCAGAAGAAGCAACTACAGTGATGACAGATATTTTGGAAAGGGAAATTTTCACATTGACTTTCTATTCATTGCTAATGAAACTGCAGCTATGTAAAATTTTCTTAGGAATTTGAGCAGGGTTGTGAGATGCATTGTTACTCTACTATGTGAGCCTTTATTCCAAACGCATTGTGTATGTATATTTTATTAAAAAATACATAAAATTTTAGGAAAATATACATCTGTAGGAAAACTGAGGTGATTTTACATGTATAGAAAATTAAATTCAGATTTATATATCATTTTTTTTTTAGGTCAAGCAAATAAAGTAGCCAAAGAAGCTGCTAACAGATGGACCGGTATGTATTGCAACATTGCTAACGTGTAGTTAGACTGACTCCCCGCTCGCAGCAGTGTGAGACCAGATGCCCAGCGCCAGCTCTGTTCACGGAAAGATACCTCTGGAGATGTGTGCATTGCTCACACTTTTGTATATGAAATATTTTCAGTTACTTTCAGTTAGGGTTATTATTATTATTATTATTATGTTTTTTTAGATCATATGATTTGCAGCCAGGGAGATAGTTCAGTGGCATAAGCGCCTGCCTGACAAGCACAAGATCTTGAGTTCGATCCCTGGTACCAAAAAAAGAAAATCTTAACAATTCATTTGTAAAGCTGTATTTTTATAAAACAAGTAATTGCTTCCAGTTTAACTTTTACATAACTTCTATCAAGGTAAGTCACTTTAGGCTAATCATTTAACTTTCGTGTACATTAATGAAACTCATCGTTGAAGTTTCCTGTGGATTGTCATGTAAAAGACACCTTTCCAAGTGCCGTGGAGTCCAGTAGAGTAGTTTTCCTGAGAATACTGACGTAGCTAAGGAGGGTACATCTGTGTGGATGGTAGCAGCATGGGTGTGTGGCGTCTTCTCGCTGCATCTCCTCGGGGACCCTGGGAGGTGGGCATCCCACATCGTGAACCTGACGCTAAGCCCGCAGGAGCCCCAGTTCATACACACGAGGCCATGGAGCAGGAATTAAATCCAGCTTTTCTGTCTCCAGAGCTTGAGCTCCTAGCGTCTGCTTGCCTGCAAGTGCTGTGTAAAACCATTTGTTAATGGGAGCTTCCTCAGATCAGCCCTGAAAACATTTTAAGAAATAAGAATTAATAAGGCACTAGGTATGTGGCTTAAGGTTAGAGACAAGTTAATTAATAGTGATTACTGTGCTTCGTGTACAAGTGTGAATAATACTGTTTCAAAAAATGGTCCCACTCAAAGCTTTCTATAAAACATCAGCCAGAAATTTGTACTGATGTTTCTTCAATATTCAATTATAAAACAATGCTAGTTGACTTTCTCCCTTCTGGTGAGTCTGCAAAGCCTTCACCTGACTTAGTCACCCGCCTTATGCTCCTGCTGAGGATGTGGTAAGAGGAAAGCAAAGATGGAAGGCTTTGCCAAACCCTTAAAAGTTATTTTTCCTAGTCTATTTTAGAATTAAACAGATGGGTAAAATCCATGGAAATTGGCCTTTTGCCCTCTTGCCTTCTTACAGATTGTAATCTTAATCATTACAGTTAATTTCCTAGATAATATAAGGCTTCAGTGGTAAGGACAGAGGAGGTTCAGAGAGCACATTTACATGAAAGAAAATAATGAAGGCTGTGTGTTGTAAGGTACAAACAAGTAATGTGAGTTTGAGAAATAGAAAGCTTTGAGTGGGACCAGAGTGGATTTAAGGCTAACGATAGTTACGGGATGAATCCCCGCAGAGCTGTGAACGAGGCAGGTCCGACAGATGGAACTGGTGCCTGCGTGTGTGCCTG